GATGGATGGATGATGGATGATGGATGGATGGATGATGGATGGATGATGATGGATGGATGATGATGGATGATGGGTGATGGATGAAGTCAAGGCCCCAGGCCCCAAGTCCTGTTGTCACCGTCCCCATGCCGTGTCCCCCAGGTGCCACCTGTGTCCTGCGCTCCAAGTTTTCGGCCTCCCAGTTCTGGGCCGACTGCCGGCGCTACAACGTCACCGTCATCCAGTACGTGGGCGAGCTCATGCGCTACCTGTGCAACACGCCCCAGGTGAGACCCCAAACCCCCCTGAGGGCTCAGGGGTGCTCTGGACACGCCCCGAGGTGTCCCCTGTCCCCCCGTCCCCCCCCAGCGCCCCGATGACCGCGAGCACGGCGTGCGCATGGCCCTGGGCAACGGCCTGAGGGCCGAGGTTTGGAAGGAGTTCCTGCGGCGCTTCGGGCCCGTGGCCATCTGGGAGTTCTACGGAGCCACCGAGGGCAACGCCGGCTTCATCAACTACACCGGGAAGGTCGGAGCCGTGGGCAGGGCCAACAGGTTCCTGCAGGTGAGCAGGTGATCCTCGGGGTGGGGCACCGGGGATGAGGGGATGGTGACGGTGAAGAGGGGATGGTGACGGTGACGAGGGGATGGTGACGGTGACAAGGGAATGGCACAGGTGACAAGAGGATGGCACTGGTGATGAGGGGATGGTGACAGTAAAGAGAGGATGGTGTCAGTGAAGAAGGGATGGTGATGGTGATGAGGGGATGGCACCGATGACAATGAGATGGTGACCATGATGACAGGATGGTGACAATGATGCGGGGATGGTGACAATGACAAGGGGATGGCACTGGTGACAAGGGGATGGTGACAATGACAAGGGGATGGCACTGGTGACAAGGGGATGGTGACAATGACGAGAGGATGGCACCAATGATGAGGGGATGGTGACAATGACGAGTGGATGGTGACAATGACAAGGGATGGTGACAATGATGAGAAGATGGCACCGGTGCCGAGCGGGTGGCGCCGGTGCCAGGAGGCTCCAGCGGGGCCGCCCAGGTTGGGTTTGAACCCAGGTTGGGGTTGAGCCCAGGTTGGGGTTGAGCCCAGGTTGGGGTTGAGCCCAGGTTGGGTTGAGCCCAGGTTGAGGTTGTGCCCAGGTGGAGGTTGAGCCCAGGTTGGGTTGAGCCCAGGTTGGATTTGAACCCAGGTTGGGGTTGAGCCCAGGTTGGGTTGAGCCCAGGTTGGGGTTGAGCCCAGGTTGGGTTGAGCCCAGGTGGGGGTTGAGCCCAGGTTGGGTTGAGCCCAGGTGGGGGTTGAGCCCAGGTTAGGTTGAGCCCAGGTTGGGGTTGAGCCCAGGTTGGGTTGAGCCCAGGTGGGGGTTGAGCCCAGGTTGGGTTTGAGCCCAGGTTGGGTTGAGCCCAGGTTGGGTTGAGCCCAGGTTGGGTTTGAGCCCAGGTTGGGTTGAGCCCAGGTTGGGGTTGAGCCCAGATTGGGTTTGAACCCAGGTTGGGTTGAGCCCAG